TCACATCCAGCAAAGGTCTCATTTGTAATTGCTGGTTGGACTAGAGATCCTTTGCATGTTTGCACAAACCTTCCAGTTTCATTCTGCCACAGGCAAGTCTGAGACATCAGACCACTCATAGCAAAGCCGGGGCTTTGCTCTCAGGTTGGAGCAAAACCACAACTATATGTGGTACTGAAACTGATGGTTTTGCCAAAACAAAGTTTGTTAGAACAGAGAAATAACCCAGGCTAAGAAAAATGCAACACTTCATATGGAGTGGCAGATATATGGCCTACTTAACTTTGAAAAGAGCATCTGTGAAGCCTGACCAAAAATTCAAGCTGTATTTTATAGTATGAGGATTACTCACGCAGTATTGAAAGCACCACAGAGATGTTTGTCACTGTTTTCTTTCCAGCTTGCACTTCCAGTAAAAAGCTGAATTTGTCAGTTACCCCAGTAAAATTATGGTTGAATGTGGAGGCAATTACAAATTTCTGTTTTCAAAAGTAATTTTATCTGTCTGGCTACACCCACAGAACTGTACGTTTCTGTGCATGTTACTATCTGTATCACACTCTCTCTGCAAACATCACCGCTCCCAACTCCCAATTCAGCCATTCTTGTGGGCTGTCTCTAGCACTAGGGGATAAAACAAGTTGTAGGATGCAGGACAGCTGAATATTAAATAAGAGTGTCAGAAGCTACCTTGTCAAGGAATAGAACAGGGTCAAGGTATAAAAACACAAAATCTCTGTTTACAGTTACAAAAAGGCAGGTACTTTTTGACAGCATCAGTAACCAGTCATAAGAGACTTGGCTATGGAATTAGGGGAGCTTGTGGCACTACAGAACTAAGCTCCAGAGAATCTACACAAAATGTCAGCAGAGCTCAGAGATGGACAGCTCTGTTGTAGCTATGTACCAATTCAAGTTTCTAAAAGCTAAGTTTCTCCATGCAAATGTTAATGCAGATGAGGTACAAAGAAACGACCAATGTGCGTTAGCACCTGTATCAAGTGGAAAGTTTTTAAAGTCATACATGGTATATGCTTTTCATGATCACACTGTTCCATCATGATTGATTAACTGAACGTACTTCTAGAACTGCAAAAATAATGGAGGTTCCTGTTGAAGCTGATGAGCTCTTCTGAGGCATTTATGTCTTCTAGTTTTGGTTTGACATAGATATAGAGTTGTACATCTTAGGACAGCTAGAACTTAGAGATTAGTGTGCAGCATTTGAACAAGTGCTCTGCTGAATCAGAGACAAGAAAATGGACATCTTGCTTTAAGCAGATGCTTCAAGGCTTTGCTGAAAAGCAGCAGGCTTTATAAGTGCCTTGTTGAATGGCATTAATTTATAAACCATAGTTTAAAAAAATTTAATATACTGTCATTGGTTTTCTGAATCAAGACATTTCTGTGGCTGAAACCTTAAACAGTGAGGAAAACCTAAGATAAATCAGAGTTCTGCCACATTTGAAGGAATGATAGAGTCCAG